GAACCCCGCCCCACACACCCCATTCCTAAATACAATAGCTATCAAATCCTGGCCACTCTTATTTCATCCCTACCACCCACATTCCTGACCTGCCACCCCTCAGTGCATTGTTAGGATTCAAGTCATTCTATCTGCTAATGCATCAGAAAGTATATCTAGATTATAAAATGCTATCTTTTCTATCGTATTGGTAAAGGTATATTATTTGCAGAAGGCTTTGAAAGAGCAAGAAAATGGCAAGAATATAGCTTATCTCTGATACTGTCAGAGAGGAAATTGGGGAGATTTGAGAGGACAGCAAAAGTTTTTCCATCTTCATTCGATAAAGAATGAAGCCATAAACCTTGAATACAGATTCTCGAACAAGAGTAAAGGAGGCATTTTCTGAGAATAAAAGGAGTTCAAGAAAAGACCTAAGTAGAGTAGGAGTAGGAAAAGGTGTTCGAAACCAACTCTCTCTCTCTTTTTTTTTTTTTTTTTAAGATTTTTGCCATAGGTCTCATGTGTTTCCAGGAGACACACAGAGAAAGAAAGAGATGGTGAGAAGGAAAGTGAGAAATCACCCCCCACACACACACCCTAAAGGAGATGGCCATGCCACAATACCCTCTTCTCCATTCTCCTCTCAAGATTTTGGGCACACATTCACACATGTGGTGTGATTTTTCAAACCATCAGATCCAGGACTTCAACCATAGTTGGCCATGTAAGAATCCAGTGCCTTAACTACTATGGCACCTGCTGGCCCTGAAACCAGCCCTATTTATGGGGGTTATTTGTGTGCTAAGTGTTGTAGTCTGGACAGTGCTAGTCTGTGAACTTCCTGAGGGCATGAGCCTAATCATTTCTTCTGTACTACGGCCTTACATCACATTTGCCCTTATGAAGTCAACCCTGAGGAATGGCTTCCATCCTCACACCCTCTGTCACATGGCTGACTGCCCTGTTGACTCTCAACACTTATCAGCTCACAAGCGCATGTGACTTCATATGAATAAAATGAATAGCAGTAAATGGGAAAGGGCTGGGTTCCGGGTAGTGAGCAGGTTCAGAAAGGCATGCGTCTTGAGAAGGCCCAGAGAACTCCCCTGAGTCACTTCCTTCACAGGATCAGCCCTGTGGGCACTTTGCCACCTGTAGTTACTCTCGAAGTCAAGGAGGGAGCTAATAACTTAACCAGGAGTGACCGGACCTCTGGGCACAGTGAGGGCTGCACAGAGCATGCACGAGGGTCTGTACGTTATGCACATCCTTTAAAGTGGTCTGGGAGATGGAGTCAGTCCTGTAAGGGCTGCCTGTGAGACCTTGCTGAAGGAGGATCCACCAAGCCACCCACAAGCCACTGGCCTCTGTTTTTCAAAGTCCAGGAAAACATCATTCTGCTCAATAAACCCTGGCAGGTGAAGCATATACTCTGTGTGTCTGCGTCAGGGGTAAGCACAAAGGGAATTACAAAAGCAAATTAGATGAGGTTTAAGCCCTTGAAGATCATACACTCCAGAAAGGTAGAACACTATGCCAGCAAGGCTGACAGTCTTTTAGCACATTCTAGGCATGAGGTACTGGAATAGGACCCATTATCTAAGGACAACACAAGTCCAAAGCACATTGAGAGGGAGCCAGAGGGAGGTGCAGCAGTAACGCAGCGCTCTGCAAGGCTGACCCACAGGAGAAGGTTCCAATCTTAGACGCGAAGACCTCCCTGCACATGTCGGGTGAACACCTGCCCATGATCCAGGGCTGGCTGTGGCTAGGGGTGAACACGGGGGCAAGCCTGTTGAGGTGCTGTTTCTGTCTCTCCTTCCCTGCTCCTGCCTCTCTCACGCAAGGAAGAAATAAATATATAAACGTAAAAAAATACGCAATGGAAGTTCAGAAAAGTTCTTGAGGAAGTGACATTGGAACTTAAATTGAAGATTAGGTATGATCTTAACAAGTTGAGTCAGTGAGAGCAACTGAGGGAGAGTATATTAATCAAAGTTGAAGAGGCAAAGAAATAAGAGAGGTGCCCAGGAATGAGGAATACTCCACTTGACTCTGCACACCCCACTTTGTATAATCAAATGGAGTACTGTTGCAGGAACTTCCTACTTCCTTTCTCTTCTTAGTCCAGTCTATGAATGATCAGACTCATCTTTCTTTCTTTTTCTTTTCTTTTTTTTTTTTGTTTGAGAAAGAATTTTCCTGTAGGATATATGTACTTTCCAGAGAGACAGAAACACAGAGACAGAAAGTGAGAAATCATCCCCCCATCCCCCCAGGGAGGATGGCCACACCACAATCTCTTCTCCTGCACTCTCCTCTCAAGATTATGAGCACGCACGTGCACGCATCCAGCGTGAGTTTTAAGCCACCAGGTCCAGGACTAGAACCATGATCAACTGTGTGGGAGTCCAACAACATAAACATTATACGATCTGGTGGTCCTTAGATTTATCTAAAACCAATTACCTGACTAAATAATAATCCCACCAAGAAGGAAGACAGGAAGGGAGAGAGACAGGGAAAGAAACTAAAAAAAAAAAAAAAAAAAAAAAGGCCTTTTAACAAATCCTTCTGACTATAAACTAAAACCTAAAAGCCCTATCATGGAAAACATTGAGCACCTGGCAGTGCCAACCAATGTACTTTTAGATTCATCTCATCTCCACACACCACTTCCTCCATTTTAACCACCCTCATACATGTTATGTATTTTGTCCTTCCACGCCTTTATTCCTGCATTCCCTTCTGCCTGAAATAGCCTAAACTCTGTCAAAATCAGTTTAAGATTTTAAGGCTCAGTTTAAATGACACCTTTCCTAGGTGTTAAGTGTTCCCCCTTCTGTGACCCCACAATGTATCTGGCCCCTAGCTTCATCTGAGATTGGAGCTGAAGTCAGACGACAGGTCTAGGTTCTAGTTCTGCCATGTAAGGACTCTTTGGACTGAGGGCCTTCTACTGACCTCTCTGAGACTTAGTTTCTTCATTTGTAAAAACTGGATAGTTAAGATCTTCCTATAGAATTCAGTAAGATAAACTATGTGAAAATAGGTTGTAAACTATGGCATGCGCAACATTTTTACATATAAACATGTAAAAGGTAAAAAGTTCCTATTCCACTAGAATTGAAGTCTCAAAGAACAGGAACCAGAAAAGAAAAACGTGTATTTAAAAATAATAATTACCAAAAAAGTTGTAAAGATATATAGAGAGCCCTATACACTTATTCCCCCAGTTTTGCCAGAGTTGTGCTTGTGCTTGCCAGAGAGACACAGAGGGAGAGAAAGAAAGCGCTCCTTAATGGGTATGGATATGCCACATTCCCTTCTCCATTCTCCGTCCTGTCAAGATTTTGAACATGTGCATATGTACACACACACACACACACACACACACACCATGTATTTCAAGCCACCAGAGCCAGAGTTCAAACTGTGGGGTCGGCAACGTAGGGTCTGGCTTCCTGAACTACAGGCCATAGAGCCCAATCAAATCTCATATACTCATATCCCTCTTCCCCTATTATTTAATAAATAATTACTTAATTAAATAATCACCATACATTTGTCAAAATGGAGAAAGGAACATTGGTACAATACTGTTTGCTCAATGACTTTATTCTCATTTTTGTCAGTTTTTCAACTAATGTCTTTCTCTGTTCCAGGGTCCAGTCCAGATTCCCATGCTGTATTTCCTTGCAACACCTCCCTAGTCTCCTTCTATTAGTGACAGTTCCTCAGTCTTTATGACTGATAATTTTGAAGAGGACTAGTTAGATATTTTATGTAAGTAGAAAAACCCTCAGTGTGGATTTTTCTGGTATCTTGTATGATTAGACTGAGGTTATGGGTCTTTGGAGAATAATGCAGAGGTGATATGCCCATCCTGCACGTCAGGGGGTACATCACATCAACATGACATATTCTTTTCTTTTCTTTTTTTTTTTTTTGGAGAGGTTTCTGCCATAGGACGCTTGCGCTCGCCAGACAGAGAGAGACAGAGAGACAGAAAGCGAGAAATCACTCCCAGGGGGGATGGTCACGCCACGATCCCTTCTCCTCCATTCTCCTCTCGGGATCTTGGGCACGCACGCACACGCGCCCGGCGTGAGTTTAAGCCACCAGGTCCGGGACTCAATCCGTGGTCGACTACGTGGGAGTCCAGCGACATAGCCATTACGCTAACTGCTGGTCCCAACATGATATATTCTTTGTGATTAAAAAAAAAAATGGGGCTGTTTGGTTCATTGTTGGCATCTGAAATAGACTGATACATAATGGTATTCAATAAATATAATAGATGCCTTTCTTAACTATTCCATGTATGTCTCTTATAACAAACTCCTAAACTGCAAGGACCATATCATATGCGTATCTTGTTTTTTTCTGATGCCTAGACTTTAACTTCAGTAAATATCTGATCTTCCCATTTTACAAATTCAGGAGCCTTCTTCCCCAACAGTAAGCTAGAGGGCGGCGGTCACGCATGCCTTAGTCATACTACTAATGCGAAAGCCTGCTGGAGTGAGGTGCCAAGCTCATGAGCAGGGCCATGGGCTACGGCCTGGACTGTCCGCCCGGCACCGTGCGGTGCGCCTCTTCCTGCATTACTCCTTGCATTCTTCATCACCTCGATTGACCCCCATTTCACAGGTGAGAAAATGGAGTGAACGAGGAACAGTAACGGACTCAAAGTCCCCATCTGGTGTGTCTAGGAAATGAGATGACTATTTTCATTCAAAAGCCATGGAGCGACAGGGATCGCACACAGGGAAAGAAAAGATCCGCGATCAACAACTCATGTCAAAGAACAAAACGTCCGGAAAATAAAAAGGAACCATCCTTGTGCGCTTGCGCTCAGCTGGGCGCTCGGCAAGCCCCTCTCTCAGTGCGCCTGCGCCGAGCCTCACTTCCGCCAGGCTTCGATTGGCTTCAAGGCTATGTTTCCTCTCTTAACAGAGATGCAAGAGGCTGGTGATTGGGTGGCGCGCGTGCTGATGACGCAAACGGAAGTATCCCGGCCAGAGGCGGGACCAGAGCCCGGACTAGAACCCACAGGGGCACGGACTGCGGAAGTTTTATGAGGGTCGGCGGCTGGTGAAGCTCAGTGTTATTTTGGAACAAGTTCTAGGAGGGAGGCGATCGCTCGGGTGCAAGAGCCATCAGCCTCCCTAGGTTTGGGGGCTTAACCCTGGGCACGATTCGACGTCGCTCGCTCCTGTTGGCTCTTTTCGCCCCTTGTTTCTTCCCAGGGAGCTGTCTCGCATTTCCGCCATGTCATCCACTTCGCCCAACCTCCAGGTACCTGCCTCGTCTCCTGCCTCCCTGGAGAGTCGAGGGGAGCACGGGAAGTGGGGTGGGGGCGGGAAGGAAGGAGGAAGCGGCCGCGCCCCTGGTCCGCGGAGGAGGGCGGGGCCCGGGCGCTGTCGCAGGTAGGGGAGGGGGCGTTTTCCCGAGGGAAGGTCGTTTCCGGTCTGCTCTAGGGGTGTGTCGAACCCACGGGCTTTGGGAGGTTTGACTTTTTTGGGGATTTATTTTGGTTTTTAAACCAGTCGACTTGAACCAAACTGGACAGGTCGGTCAGCGTAAGGGACGGGAAGAACGTAATTTTTGCTAAGCACTACTCCGGACTCGTTGAAAAGAGAGTGGTCGTAGTTCTCTTTCTCAGCATAGCCCTGTCTGAGCTGTCAGGTGAAAGAAGTATGAGAACAACCTGAAGTTAAGGTTACAACCAGCTTACATACAGTCTTCGTAAATTTATTGAACTTTATGTTTGTATGTGCCTTTTGTGTCTCCCAAATTGTATTATGTAAAATCGGGGAGTTCTTAATTCCTTTGCGACCCCACTTTCCCACCCCCATTACAGTGAGAACAGTGTTTTGTACAGTAGTTGTGGGATCGTAAAATTTTAGACTTGTCCGTCCTCCGCAGGACAGAATTCATTGAGAGAAGAAATTTATGTAACAGTGTCTCCTAGGCTTCAGTTCGGTAAGAACGTAAGCTAGACTCGAGGGCTCCCAGTCCAGTAGGTCAGTTTGGGACAGAAGAACAGTGTGGAATACCCACATTGAATCCTTGTCTTGGACCTCTGATGATTTACTGAACAGTCATTTATTGAATGCCTGGGACAGGAAGATCTCCTTAACCCAGGATAATTGATCAGGAAAGAAAGGACCAAAGTAGACTTATTTAAACAGAGATAAACGTTCACACACATGCATACCCAAGAGGGAGGATCTTATATAATAAGTTTTATTTTGTAACTATGACTCATATCTTAAAATAAGGAATAACTCATCTGTTGATATGTATATGTATCTTTTCTACCACGGTTGTATTGATGATTAACTAAGATACAATAACCTTTTCATTTTAAGATTTTTTTGTTTGTTTGTTTTTGTCGGCCACTGGGACCAGCAGATGGTGTAATGGTTATGGTTCTGGACTCCGATGTAGTCAACCATGGTTCAGGTCCTAAACCTAGTGGCCTAAAACTCATGCCAGGTGTGCATGCATGGGTGCCCAAAATCCTGAAAGAATGGAGAAGTTGAGGAGAAGAAATAGTGGTGTAGCCATCTCCCCACACCCCCTGTGTGTGTGTAAATCTCACATTCTATCTCTTTGACTCTCCCGCAAGCACATGCGCTCTATAGCAAGAATATTTCTTTTTAAAAAAAAATTTTTTGTAGCCCCATTCAGAAAGGGGTTTTGTTTGGTATTTGGTAAAAGTATTGTTCCTTTGAGCATTAAATATAATTTTCTTTGAAGTGCTCATCTTATCATCCTTTTGGGTTTGTCATTTGACTTTTTAAGTCCATCAGCTTTTTCATTGTCAGACTTTACATGTGATTTGGGCATTCTACAAAATAATCTTCATCCATTTACTGATCAGCAGCATGCATCATATTTGAAATGTTCTTCAGTAAATTCGCTAGAAATTGACCTATAACAGCAAAGCCATTGCAAGCATTTGACAGGAGGAATGATGAGTTACAATTTTGTTAGTGATTACTTCACATGTGTGATTTTTCATTCAACCTTTTCAACCTCTAACTTTAGAAATTCAGATAAAGACTATTCACACAATGAGTAATTTCCCACTGAACAAGGCAAAAATCCCTGTAGCTAGATGCATATAATATAATCAGAATGCAGACAACAAAAATTACAATTACAGAAGCACCCACAGGATGCTTTCTTTCTCACTCTTCCTGGGAGGAACACATGCCCTATAGAAAATTAAAAAAAAAGGGGTTGGAAATGTCTTCAAAATAAATAATTATTTAAAAACAAAACATAACAACAACCTGTGTCCCGGGGAGGAACAAAGCCCCATAAAAAAAAAAAAAAAAAAAAAAAAAAAAAAAAAACTTAAGAAAGACGTTAGGCTTCTGTCTGCATTTAAAAAGTGATGGAAGGAGAAGGAGATCAAATATCTTAGTGGACAGGAATTGATTCTAGAAATACAAAAGGGGATGCATTTGGGACTGAGGTTAAGGGGCAAAATAAATTCAGTTCTGAACTTGTTGAATTTGAAAACTGTGAGGACAATCAAATGGAAATGTCCAATGAACATTTGGATACAGATATACGTGTAGAAGTAGGCAGAGCAGCCTAGGTGGGAAATAGGATTCAGAAGTTATTAGCATGCAGATGGTAGCAGAGCTAATGGGCATAAAGAGTCATGCTGGATAGTGCAGAATTTACAAAATGAGGAGAAACAAGGTCAGTGTAGGAAACTCTACAAAATATCAGCATTTAAGGACAGAGAAACATTTAAAGAAAGTGAAAAGAATTATTAGTCAAGATTAAAATCCGAAGAGAATGCCGTCATGAAGGCCAAGAACGGTGACACTGGCAAGATACTGGTTATTTGAGTGCTGCAGAGAGGGAGTTTGCGATTAGAGATGTGTCTGTCGAGTTTGGTGACTAGGAGGCAGAAAACATTGCTGTGGGAGGAATTGGAGATGAGGAAACCAAGATGAGTTTGGGGTACCCTAAAAGATGATAGCTAGAGAGAGTATTAGGAACTGGGGCACCTTGGGGTATTTTGGTTTGGTTTATGAAAATAGGTATCTGAGTAGGACTTGGACACATCTTTCTGCTAAGGAGGGACCCAACACCAAGGGAAAGGCTGGGGAGAATGGTAGTGTGGCATGGCGTTGGTAAAGTTAAACTCAGAGGGAGAAGGTGAGGTGGGCTGAAAAACAGAGGAAGAATTAGCCCTCACAGACTGGGCTAGCATGTCTTTTCTCCTGAGATAGGTGGTTGTGGAGTTTACTCAGTTTCCTAGGGTTTTCTAAGATGGACATGCCATAGTCTCCTAATCTAAAAGCACAGCTCCAGATGTTCCCAACCTGTCTACTTCCATATGGATGACTGGACCATGACTGATCTTTGGGTAAAAGTACCAGGCACTGCTAGGTTCTGAGAATATAAAACTGTGAAGGCAACAAAGGTAGCCCTGGTCCTCATGGGGTTTATGTTCTTGACGGAGATAGGCAACAAACAAAAACCAAAAACACATACATGTGTGTACACATAAGACAATAATCCTGAAAAGATTAAAAGCATAGGAGTGAGATGTACAACTGTATTTTAAAATTAAATTCGGGAGTTATCAACATGAAGGTCATTGAAAACAAATGACATGGGGTGGGAATAAACAAGAGAAATGAAGCCCAGCCCAAGCTCTGAGGACCATGTTTTGATGCTGCTTGCAAGGGAGAGAATCAGCACAGGAGAAGAAGCTGGCAGAGGTTAGGGGATCCAGCAGAGTATGCTTAGGGGCTCAGCAGAGGACAACTTTTACTGACTTTCTAGAATATTGTTAAAAGACCAAGGTGAAGACTCAGCCTCTTTGGATTCACACACAGCCTTCATATGAGCATTTATTGATGTGATAAGCGAAAGAGAATAGACTCCTCTAGTGGGATTTTGGCCTTAGAAGGTAATGGAAGCAGCTGAGGTAAGGGTTAATTTGTGTCAAAACTTTCTAAAGGGGGACCAGCAGGTTGGATAATGGCTACATTGCTGGACTCCCATGTTGTCAACCACCGTTCGAATCCCAGACCCCATGGCTTAAATTCATGCCAGGCATATGTGTGTGCATGCGTGCCCAAGATCCCGAGAGGAGAATGGACGAGAAGGGATTGTGGCGTGACCAGGGGTGTGATTTCTCTCTTTCTGTCTCTCTGTCTCTCTCTGTCTTTCTGGCAAGCGCACATGTCCTATAGCAAAAACCTCTCCAGAAAAAAGAAAAGAAAAACCACTTTCAAAAGGACGGTTATTTGTATGCTGATAAATATCCACTGGAGAGAAATTGTCATTAGGAATTGACAGAGAGAGACTAGCCAAAGGGAGGAGGATTTTTGTTCATTTGTACAACAATTTTATTGAGTGCTAACATACACCAGTAGTGGTCTAGGCTTGGAAGCTCCAGATGAAGTCCTGTCCCCACAGAGCCTACCTTAGTGAAGGAGATAGCCAGGAAGTGATCATACAGGTAAGTACAGTGATGATAATGGGATAAGAGAGTGCAGGGGTGAGAGAACTAAAGCTGGAATGGAGTACACGTACCCTCTGATACAGCAGCGTAGGAAAGGTCTCTCCGAGGACTTGCTATCTAAACTTGGAGTAAAAATGAGGCTGTCATGCATCCATCTAATAAAGGAAGAACATTCTAGAATCAGTCGTTTTCAGGTTGCCTGAGAAAAAGACTAAAGGATCTCAGGTGAGATCCATACACAGCCAAAGCCTAGTAGATCGTGGCCTTAAAGTGGCAATGGGACACTGTGATCAAAGGTTGCTTTCGGGTGGCAAGCGTGAAAATGAGCTGACTAGGCACAAGGCTAGGTAGCAGGTTTGACAGATGTGTTACTGGATTGAACTAGAGTAGCAGTGGAGATGGTAAGGGTGATATTCTGAAAGAATACTTGGCTCCTTACCGTGCAAACATGGTTAATTTATTTCAGATGGAAAAATGCTAACAAAAACAAGGTTGAAACGGGGTGTTCATTGGGAAAAACAGATGCATACTCTCACAAGTCATCTTGGATTAAAAGTTTCACATTTGCCACCCAGTAAAGTAGCTTCACCCAGTTGCCCTCGACAGTAACATCTTATAAAACTAGTATAGCAACATAACCCGGATATTGACATTGATAAATCCCATCACTCTTACATTTTTGCAGTTTGATTTTACTTATTGTTTGTGTGTGTGTGTGTGTGTGTGTGTGTGTGTGTGTGTATGTTTATGTTTCTGTGCAGTATGTATCCACCGCCATCCCGTATATTCACCGCCACAGTCAAGATGCAGAACAGTTAACACACGCAGGATCCCTCATGTTAATGTCCTTTTATCACCATAACCACCTCCCTGTCTCTTCTGCCCACCGTTTCTGTCCCTTGGCAACACTGAACTGTTCACCATCTATAATTTTGTCATTTTGAGAGCATTATGTAAGTGTAATGATATGGTATTTAATCTTTTGGGAGTGGCTTTTTTCTTTTCTTTTTTAAGAGATTTTTGCTATAGGGTGTGTGTACTCACCAGGGAAACAGACATAAAGTGAGAAATTACCCCCTGGATGGATGACCACACCACAGTCTCTTCTCTTCCATTCTCCCCTTGGGATTTTGGGTACACCTGCACACGGACCCAGCGTGAGTTTTAAGCCATGGGATCTGGGACTCTTACCAGAGTTTACCATATGAGAGTCCAGTGACATAACCATTATGCCATCTGCTGGTCCCAGGGATTGGCTTTTTTCACTCAGTATGATTCCCTCAAGATTCATTACTGTACCGATAATTGATTCCTTTATGTTACTCCATAGGGTCAATGTATCAGAGTTTGTTTAACCATGCAACTATTATTGGACATCTGAAACATTTATGTACCAGTTTTTATGTGAACATAAGTCTTCATTTCTCTTGGATAAATGCCCAAGAGTGCAGTTGTTTATTCATATAGTAGTTGTTTATTTACTTTTGTAAATAAAGCAAAAAAAAGTTTCCCAGCGTGGGTGTATTGTTTTACATTCTGTTAGCAGTATGAGTGATCCGGCTCTGTGCATCTTTACCAGCATTTAATGTTATCACTTCTTTATTTTAGCCAGTCTGAGATGTATGTAATGATGTCTCATTGTGGTTTTAATTTGCATTTTCCTACTGATAATGATGTTGAGCATCTTTTCATGTGCTTATTTGTGCTGTATATATACTCTTAGGTGAAATGTCTATCCGTATCTTTATCCTATTTGTTTTTTTTAGATTATTTTTATTATTTGTTTCTTGGGGGAAAGGGAAAGAAAGGAAGAGAGATAAGCACCCCAACAGGGTCCTCACACTGCGTCTGCTCCTATCCAGCCAGGATCACAGGCACACATGCATTTTCTCTGCATGTACAGGGAAACCTTGGGATGAAAACCCAGGACCTTACAGAGCTTCAGCATCACAGAACATTGGGTTACTGCTGCAGCACTACAGCAGGCCGTCTTTTGTCCATTTTCTAGTTGGATTCTAAACTATGGCATTTTGAGAATTCTTCATATATTTTAGATACTGGTCACTTGTCGGATATGTGTTTTACTAGTGTTTCTACCACTAGGTGACGTGTCCTTTTATCCTTTTAACAGGATCTTCTACAAAAACAAAAATGTTTTTAAGTCAGGTCTAGTTTTTTTAATTTTTCATGTATGTATTGTCCTTTTGATGTTATTTGTAAGAACTCTGTTTAACCTTAGATCCTGAAGATTTTCCATGATTTTCTAAAAGTTTTATAGTTCCTGATCATTTTGAGTTAATTTTTGCAGCAAGTGTGAGGTTTAAATTGAGTTTTGTGTGTTGGCTTTTTGCTTATGGATGCCTAATTGCTCCAACTCCATGTCTTTAGAGGTCTGTTTTTCTGCCATTGACTTGCTTTTGTATCATTTTCAAAAATCACTTGGATGTGTTTGTATGGATCTGTTCCTGGGAAATGTTTTGTTTTCAATACTATAAAAGTAGTCCATGCTCATTATGGACACTTAGATGATGTGAAAAGTTTAAAAAAAAAAAAATCAATGAAATCTTATCAGAGATGAGCTCTGTTACATTTTCTTCCCATAATTTTCTTTTGTTTTGTATTTTGATGTTCTTTCAAATAATTGAACCTTGTGTTACATAAAAGGTTGTATCCTGACTTCCAAAAATGTCCATTATAAACTTTTCCTGTTATTATAAATATTTCTTACTATTTTTAACAATCCTTTAATATTGTGTGGCATCCTTTTACTGTTTAAATGTAAGTTTCCAGGTTTTGGTTTTGTTGTTTAAAAGACCTCTTGCTCAGTAAACTTGTCATTTAATTACTGGGTTGAAAGATTTGGATATTTGCACATACTTGATATTTCATTGTCCTTTTGTTTCCAAAAGGGTTTTACCCCATTTACAAATTCTGTTGCCGTATGTTTTAGACATAGCAGCATCTGTCTTGTTTTTTGCAAGTTTTCCTAAATGCTTTTTTTATTTTGAATTTCAGATTATTTGGTTATTCCTTAATACCTCTAAGTTTGACACTGAATCAAAATTATTTGAGAATCTTAGTGATTGATTCTAGATAAAATAATACTCAGATGACATTTATCTTTATAGGAAATGCAATTTGTATTTTGTAAAATTATAATTTATAATAAAATGCAGTTGTGATTTAAGGAGGTAAAGATGAATTTGTTTTAAGGTTACTTTTATTTTTTAAAAAAATCCAGTATTATTTAGTCCATATATATGTATATATATATAAATGTATATATACACACATACATATATATGTACATATACATAAACACATTTTTTCAGATTAATTTATTTATGCTTTGATTTTAATGTTATTATTTTGTGTTTCTCAAACAGAAAGCAATAGATCTTGCTAGCAAAGCTGCACAAGAAGACAAAGCTGGAAACTACGAAGAAGCCCTTCAGCTCTACCAACACGCCGTACAGTATTTCCTCCATGTGGTTAAATGTAAAGCCATAGTTTTATTTTTTTACGTAAAAATACTAAAAGAAACAGTTATTCTGTTACATTTATAAAAGTTACAATATAATGCCAGAAAATTATAAGCCATCCATTTGCAAAACTGTATCTCTTTCTTCCTAGTAATTATTAGTTTCTCAGACTTAACATACAAGTATCATGCTTTACTCAGTACTTTGTAGACCCGAACATCTTATAATATTACAAAGTCAGTGGAAATACTTATCTCACTTTACTGATATATACTCAAATCATGTGATCTGAGTTTACTCATTTGTAAGCATATGTTTGAAGATACTCTGCTTTGCGGGGAGATTGTATATACCTGTATATTATACAGAGATATAGTGCATATTTAACCTTGTGCCAGGCACTGTTCTAGGCACCTGGAATGAACAAAATCCTCTTCTTTCATGACTTGTAAACCGTGGACATAACTGAAGGCTTTCTTTTGAGCTTCTCCACTTAATTTTGAGGTTTTATGTCAAATGAAAGCAAGTCTAAGAATGAATAATATCATGAGAGATAAATGGGGCTAATTCCATGCATTACATATATTGCCAGAGTCCATATTTGAAAATAGCCCTTTACTACAAAAATCTTTATGTAGTAAAACTACTTGGTGGTACCCATAAGATTATGAGATGTTCATCCCTTTTTATGCTCTGAAATAAAGCTATGTACACACTAATGGAAGTGGTTAATACTGCTTTACTTCCATTTGTCTCTCTAATCATTGGTGTTTTTGTGAGACAAGCAAAAGGTACATCTACAAAATGTAAGAGATTGAAACCTACAGAACATTAAATACTTTCTAATTATGAAGTATTGTTTTGGTGAGATCTTTTTCTGACTGAAACCCACTGTTGATCTCTAACCTTGCTGGGGGAAGAGTAGAAAAAAGTTGGTAATCATTGGTTATGATGAGTTATAAGTGATCTACCCGTCTTCTCCCGACATACAAGTTCCTTGCCTGAAAGATACAGTGAAGGGTTGAAACCTTTCTCTATAGAATAGTAACGATAAAAACGCCTGTCACTTCTCTTCAATAGATGAAGCACAAGGTGAGAAAGCCAAGCAAAGTATCAGAGCGAAGTGTACAGAGTATCTTGATAGAGCAGAAAAACTAAAAGAGTACTTGAAAAAGAAAGAGAAAAATCCACAGAAGCCAGTGAAGGAGGGACAGCCAAGTCCAGCTGATGAGAAGGGGTATGTATTTGAAAGTATTAAATTGTATTGTATCTTTTAACTTTTAATTTGTGAAATGAATGTCCTTCTTTTGAACCAGATCTTGGAGACTGTGACTCGTGGGTCACAGCTGACCTGCTCCCTGGTTCTGTGAGTCAGGGTTATTAGAGCACAGCCTTGCTCATTTGTTTGCCCATTGGTGCCCGTGGCTGCTTCCATGCTAAAACAACAAAGCCGAGTGGTTGCAGTTAAGGCTGGGTGGCCAACTGAACCTGAAATATTTACTCTCTGGTCTGTTTCAGAAAAAAGTTTACTGACCCCTGGCTTGCCAAATTTGGGGATGATACGTATACCTCAGGGCACCTCCCCGCCCCCGTGACTGCCAACAGTAGGGAAAATGGTGATAGATAGGCACCTACGTACCCTCTGGTCATCTTCATAGTACCAAGTTCTAAATGTGATTAAGTCTTTCACCACACAGGCAAAATGAGAAGTAACTCTGATGATGTAAATAATTGTTTGGATATGTAATGTAAAGTTTGCGTGGATTGGCATTATATTTGCTTTATGTTGTCGTTTTAAAGAAAGTAACACAGCCTGATTATAAATATTGAAATCTGTTTTTGAAATGTCTTCCTAGGGGATGGATTCCTCACTCACAGATGTAGAATTTGTTTATTCAGTGCATATTATATGCAAAGCAAGCTCTATGCTAAGCAGTGGGAATGTATTCTAAACACATCCTCTCTGACATTCCATTAATTGGGGCCACATGGCACACACTTAACAAAAGGAGAGCCTGGGATGAGATTATCTAGCTGGGTAGGGCTTACAAGCAGTGAGGTTCTAGGTAGCTGCAGAGGTTGTGATTGATACCCAGAGCTCATGGTGTGCAGCAGCCCAGCAGATGGCCCCTGTGGTCATGAAGAGTCAAGTGTCTTCTAGGCCTGCTTGGGGTGTTGTGACTGCCACCACAGCCTGTTTTGAAGGACATGAGGAATACAGGAAGTAGTCACTTGATGCTTTGAACTATGTGGTGGAGTATAAAGAAAATTACAAGTTGAAGGTTATTTTCTCTAAAACATGACCATGGAACCAGGGTTTTCATGACAACCTCAGAATATTTTCTGCTTCTGGAACATTGACGTAACAAAAATCAAGTGACAGTTTGATTATATTTCAACTTAGGGTTTCTCATGTGAAAGTGAGGACATTTAGTGTAAGACAGGAATTCCAAACATGAAATCACTGGGAAGAGTTAAGTTGACTTTGTTCGTTTGGGTCTTCCCACTGTTACTGAGATTCCTGTGGCAACAGAACCATCCTCTCTTCCGTTGTCTGTTAAAGCTCCTCTGCTCTTGTTAAAGGCCCTGTTAATGGTCTCCTTGAGATGGTTATCTGACAAGGGGATGGTAGCAAAGTTTATTTCTTCCATGAGCAAAAAAAGATGGAGACAGCACTCCCCACAAGGTTGATGCCACAGTCCACTCCGCCAGCCTTCTGCCGACTTTGGATCATGGAATTTCTTGTGTAGCATAGTCAGGGTAGTCTCTAGACTTGAACCCAGAACCTTCCCATGGGGGATTGCCTCAGAGTGTGATGTTTTAACACTGTTCCTATATATAATATCTGGCCCATATATAATACCTTATATTTTTAAAAATGAGACAATACTTTTTTTTTTGCTTTATCACTTTTTCCTCTCAATGATGTATAAGGAACATCTTTCCTATAAACTATTTCTACAGCATCATTTTCAAAGATTGGACTATATTTTATCAAATGTTAATCCCCATAATTGAACATAAATTATTTCTCTTTTTTTTCCCCCATTGGGCACATTGTGGGCATGATTATTCTTATAGTCAGCTCCTCAGACTCATATAAAATCATTTACTCAGTATAAGTTCCTAAGTATGAAATATTGTTTTCATCCTTTGAAACCTCCAGACTAAGGATTCTAGACCATTGTGCCATATGTAATTACTGTTCTGGGTTTTTTTCTCCTAGGATGACTTTTTGTTCTCATTTGTTTTGGCTTGGTCTTGGTGTTTTTATTGTTGTCTGCGACTTTCCTGTAATTTGTCTTAAACCCTTCATGGAAGGATGTGTCGGGCATGTGTCCTACATAAACAGGCCTGTCGTGGGGACTTGGAGCAAGTTGCCGACTTCATTCTGGCTCTTTGTCTCTTTCCTGGTAGTTCCCTAGTGATTGATGTGTGCTTCCTGTTTTAATGTATCCTTAAAAGTAATACAATAAGAATAACTTGTGCGAATGTCTTATTTTTCCACTTGCAAATATTTCAGGTAAATCTTTCCTTCATTTTTGCCTTATTTGATAGCAATGAGTGATCATTTGAATATATTAAATTCTTTTTATTAGGAATGACAGTGATGGGGAAGGAGAATCTGATGACCCTGAAAAAAAGAAACTGCAGAATCAACTTCAAGGTTGCTTTAGATTTCATTTTTAAATTTACTCTCATTAAAAAGAGTCATAGTGAATTATCTGTTTGAATTGTTTTATTTCCCTTCTCTATTCAAACAAGGCTCAAGAACTGGCTTTGGTTCCCAGTGTTCATGTTCTAGCTTTATTTAGCAATTTCATACACTTTGCCCTCTTAGGGTCTCAGGTGGCTTGCTTGTTTTCATGTAAAAATATTGTTTGATTTGTAAGTCAACTTTTCTTTCATTTTGTGTGTCTACCCCCTTGTAGTACGTAACGTTTATGTTATTAGCACGCTGTTCAGACTGATGGTATTAACTCTACCACCATCAGAGGACCAGACGAATTGGCTTTTATTGCTGTGGCTGACTTATTAATGCCTATTTCATGTTTCCTTCCTGCTCTTCATCTGCTTTTCAGTGCTCTCATTTACATTCATATCTTTACATGGCATTGCTCTCTTAAAGCTTTCTGTTTTTCCCTTTCACCCCTACCCAAGCCCTTTCCTTCTATTCTCTACTGCAGTAGAGCGGCATCGTGGAGGAGCGTAGATACTGGCTTCACTCAGATCTGGATTTCACTCACAGGTCTGCCATTTAAGAACTTTCCAACCGTGGGCCAGTTTACTGCCTTCTCAGTCTGGGTCCCGACATCTTAAATGGAAATTAATTACATCTTCCTTTCAAGGCTATTAAAAGATAAATGACAAATAAAAATTGTATAATATAGCTAACAAACCCTAGATACATAAAAGTTGTTTGTATCTAAAAAGGCATCTATTTAATTTCTGGTTTTCCTCTATTGCTGAGATTTGATTGTTCCTTGTTATACTACCTAATGGTTTTTCATACTGAATGTTATGCTCAGTTGTTGGTAGCATGTATTTTATTCATTAGAATCTTAATAGAAATGTAAAACTGGGAAGGATTTCCATTGAAGAGGCTCAGCCTTCATTTAACCTAGCCTTCCTATTCCTAGCTTAGCTGACCTTTACCCTTGTTAGACTCGTGTCATCATTTTGGTCATATTTCTGTCTTACCTACCCCACAAGAACATATGCATAAGAGAACACCATAAGGGTAATATCTCGAAGGCTGTACGGTGATTGAGGATATAGAGCATCTTGATAGGCCAGGAACTAGCTAGTGAATATAGACAGGGCAGAGCCTTTGGGTCCCCACTGCCGAAGTGGTGTCAGCCCGCATTGTGCAATAACAAGTTTGTATTGGGACACCAGTGTTTGGTGTCAGGTAACCGTATTCCAGTTGTAAGGCAGGAAGCTTTTTCTGTCTGTTATATGGGTTTTGGTTTTGTATCCCATCCCCACATTTTTTTTAAAATGAAAATTGGATTGTATCTTTAATTTTGAAAAAGACACCAATTTTTAATTGAAATTTCTCTAAATTCTCTATCAGTTATGATAAAGGCCAGAGAGATTTTTTTTAAAATACAAATGCTTGAAACATTTCAGTATGGAAGTTTATTTGGAGTTTCAGGATGAAATATAATAAAGTATGAAGTGAGTCTGAGCCTCTCATATCCGAGAGTTCTTTTTTTCCTCTAACCTTTCAATTTTTTGATTTACTGATGGATCTCATTGTATAATATCTTTTCTTTAGAAAATTTTCATTTTTTACTGAAACTATAGAAAATGGATTTACAAGGCTGGCAGGTGGCATGGTGATTAAGGGCGCTGGACTCCCACGTGGTCGACTGTGGTTCAAGCCCCAGACCTGACAGATTGTTTTCTCACTTTCCCACTCTTTCTCTCTCTCTCATTCACTCTGTCCCTCTTTGGTCAAATTAAAATAAGTAAATCAATAAATTAAATAATTAAAAATAAAATGGATTTGCAACATTAAGTATAATTCTTGTTAAAAGTGGGTTTATAAGGAGCCAGCAGGTGGCTGCTGGTTGTGGCAGTGGAACAGGGTTAACCACAGTTTGCATCCCAGACCCGGTGTCTTGCTTTCTCACTTTCCCTCTCTCTTTCTGTCTCTCTTGTGAACTCATGTGAAATAATAATAATAAATAAAAGAAAAATAATTCTTTAAAAAATGGGTTTATTAATTGAGTTTTCTGTTAGGTAGTTTTGATTTTGTTGACTGCAAGGTTAAATAGTATAATAGTGTAGTCAAAGGTTGGGTTAATTATATAATTGGAAGTAAATTATATAATTGGAAAATTTGTATGTTCTAATAATTACACCCCCTTTTTAAAATTTACAAATGATTAAATTTTTATCAGTAAGCATTCTAAAGTCACTTTTAAACTTGAAGGAGGAAGATATTAATTAAACTGAAAATAAATTATGACGTTTTTAAACTCTGTAGCAAAAATCATGTTAGCCACATGACATATCGTATAAATTTACTTTAATTAACATGAAATCATATATGATGTAGATACAGTTGTCCCCACTTATCTGCAAAGGGATAATGTTCCCAGACCTCCCGTGGATGCCGGCAACCACAGATGATAAAAGCTTAATTTATAAATTAGACCAAATAAGAAATGAACAGCAATAAGTAGTAATAAAATAGAGCAGTTACAACAGTATGCTGTAATAAAAGTTATGTGAATGTGGTTTGTCTCTCCCAAAATACCTTATTGTACTGTAACTCACTTATTTTTAGACTGAGCTGACCACAGGTAACTGAAACCACAAAAAGGGAAACTGCGGATAAGGAAGGGACTACTAAATTTTGTCTTGTAGGTTCACTAATCTTAATGAGACATGAAGAAACAAATTAGCTGTTTTCTTTATACTAATCTGAACTGTTAGAACACAAAAAACATTTATGGTTTCGTTTCAATCTAGTTAAGTAAAGATTTTCATATTTGAGGGAAATAAGTTACAGACTGTAGCTAGTCTTACAATAATAGGCAGGTAATCTTTTTCTAACAAATGAAATGACCTATAAGACCAATTTCAGAGAACCATGGATTGTGTAAGTGATGGTGGGTGTTTGTTACACTTAAAACATCTTCTGAGAACAAGCTGCTTCGTAGTTTATAGTTGAAAAGTTTTTGTAAATAACTAGAAAATTCTGCCATAGTCTACAGTCAAACCCTTTGTGGACTCTTGTTGGAGCAGTTGATACGGCTTTTGCATATTCCACATTCAGAAACTAAATCATTCACTTAAGCAACTTTGCTTATTACAAAAATTATAAATAGGCCTGTTTAGAAGCTACATTATAAATGTGGCAAATCTGGGACCAGCAGGTGACATAGTGGTTAAGGCGCTGAACTCCCACATGACCAACTACAGTTCAAGTCCCGGACCCAGTGGCATGAAACTTAAGCCAGGAGCATGTCCAAAATCCCGAGAGGAAAATGGAGGAGAAGGGATTATGGCATGGGCATCCCCCTGGGGGTAGGGGAGATTTCTTGCTTTCTGTCTCTCTGCCTCTTTGGTGAGCGCTTGTGCTCTACAGCAAAATTCGCTCTCTCCCCCAAAAGTGGCAAATCTTAGGATAGTACTACAAATCGATAGGGTGTACGGCTTTTCCATCATCTGCTTCCATTCCATCCCCTTCTTTCTCCTTTCCCTTTTCCCTTCTTCCTATCCTCTAGTTAAAGATGTTGAGCGTATTTTCTCTCTGTATTTGAAGAGAATGTTAGATCACCATTTGGTTAACAGGAAAAAACTATCCCCATTGAACAAGTATTTTTTATTACACCAGAATCAATATATTCAAATATTATAACCAATTTATATAATGGGACTTTTTCAAACACACTAAATACGCATTATATCATTTAATTCTTATACTGATATGAGTAGTTTGTATAGATGGCATTATTTTCATTTCACAAGGAAGGAAGTGGCAATTAAAAGGTTAACTGGCTTAACCTTAATTAACTAAGCTATTTAGTCACCCACTCAGGCTTCTGACTTGGCTGACGACCCTCTGAAAACTACTTCCTCATTGCACTGTTTCAAAAGGTTTTTAGTGCATAAACTTTTTCAAACAATATTATACCACATTTTTTTAATGTAGTTATTTCATGTTGTCTTCTAACATTGATGAAATAGTCTTCTTAAATTAAAAGTGACATAATTTTTTGTAGGTGCCATTGTTATAGAGCGACCAAATGTGAAGTGGAATGATGTTGCTGGTCTCGAAGGAGCCAAAGAAGCACTTAAAGAAGCTGTGATACTGCCTATTAAATTTCCTCATCTTTTTACAGGTGAGATGACTTTTAAATAATTTTGATTTTGATTTTAAATGTATTGGTGACTGAAGTGGAGCATTATGAATTCTCATCAGCATATCATTTATTAAATAAATCCTGTTATAAGGTGGTGATATTTTACACAAGACGTTGTAGTCCCCATGCCTATCCATATTTGCTATACACATTGCAGAGCAGCCTCAGTGCTAACTAGTAGGTGAAGGGGAAATCACTAGCACAGTGGAAGACTGTGCACTCACCTCCCGTAGTGTACAGCTACATACTGAATTTATATCTACACTGTAATTTATTGGAGAATGTCCACATCTGTTATAAAGATTAAAAAGCATGTTATAAAATTGTATAGTGTAATTCCACATTCGTTATATGAATGCATGTACCAAGTAAGTGTACATGGATTTATATAAAAATGTTAAACAAGTGCCTAGGACATTAAAATCGTAGGTGCATTTTTATTTTTCACTTGATTTTCATCTGAACTTTTCATGAATTAATTTTTTAAGAGTGTTTCCATTTCTCAAAAAAGAAGAGTAGAAATTACCTAACTGCTTCAGATGACGTACATACCCTCAGGTAGCAAAGGACAGCCTGTCTAACTGAAGAGAAAGTTGATGCACCGTCTGCTGATAGTTTAAGTTCTGCTTCCAGGTGTAAGTGACCTGTCTCTGCCAACCCATTTCTTCACATTGTCCTTTTGGTGACCAAGCCCTGGGTCTGTGATATGGCTACACCCACAGACTAACAGGTTTCTCCTTTGGAAAACAAGCTGCTGTATGTAGAGAACAAATCTGTGATGTTGGCCTCTAACTGAACAGGTCAAGACAGCGATGTCGTATAGGGCAGTGATGAAGAGCAAAGAACCTGTGGGCCACACGTTGTCTACCTCGCTCGAAGGTACGACTTACAGCCCAGCCCAACTGCAAGAATGTGAAACTAACAGTTATGAAAGCTGGCGTCCTGAGCCTAATGTACTTTATATTACTGGTGTGAGTAATATAAAACGGGTTCAGTCATAGCGTGTACCTCTCATGTCCTGTTCACACAACATGACTGAACTCGTTTATTCTAGGCTTTCCCAAACTTAAGTTATTTAAGTATCATTACTATGAATTTTTCCACATACGTGCACCATTACTTTTATTTTTTCATTTTTTTAGGTTTTTACCATAATACTGAATTACTGAGAGAGAGAGAGAGAGAGAGAGAGAGAAAGAGAGAGAGAAAGTACACAACTGACGTAATTCTCAAATCACCAGGTCCAGGACCCAAACCACTCAGTTGTCCATGTAGGATCCAGCTGCCTTAACCACCATACCACCTGCTGGCCTTCCTGGGTTTTTTGTTTTTGTTTTTGTTTTTGTTTTTAAGTTAGTTCCTCCTGTGAATGGGTAAGAGAGTGAGTGTGGACCCCCCAGGTCCGTGTCAGTCTCCTCCCTGCCTTCAGCCACCTCTGGCCCCTGGTTACATTTTTTAGTTTCTGCAATAGGGTATGCGTGTACTCACCTGAGAGAGAAAGAAAGCTAGAAATTACGCCCCAAGGGAATGGCCACACTGCAGTCCCTTCTCCATTCTCCTCTGGGGATTTTAGACACACATGCTTACGTACTTTGCGTGTTTTTGAAGCCACTGGGTCCAGGACTCAAACCTCTCAGCCATGTGGGATCCATTGCCTTAACCACCATGCTACCTGCTGGCCCCTGATACATTTTTATTCTTATTGGTAGCTCTAGCTCTGAAAAACCTTTTCACAGTATTCTTCAGTGTGGATATCTATGATAAATGAAATTCTCATGTTTTGTTTTTATGCAAATTCTAGGCAAGAGAACACCTTGGCGAGGAATCTTATTATTCGGGCCACCTGGAACAGGAAAATCTTATTTAGCCAAAGCCGTAGCAACAGAAGCAAACAACTCAACATTTTTTTCAATATCATCCTCTGACCTTGTTTCTAAGTGGCTGGGTGAAAGTGAAAAGTAAGTCGTAAGTCAATCTTTTTTTCAGTTTTTCCTTTACCTTGTAGTCACTGTATCAGTCTAACGTATTCATTCCCGTGTCAGATCAGTCCCTAGTTTGGAGTTTACTGCATAGGAAAAAGACAACACATACATATAATGTAGTAAATTGTGATCACCCAGTTAAAACATTTTTATTTTCCATATCTCTGAGCTTTTGGGGGGGTTTTAATTCATGGAGTTCTTACTATATTGGTATGCTAATTTGTTTTATCTTTTACTGTTTTTTCTCAGAGACTGAAAGTTTTTATTTGTTTTTAGATTAGTTAAGAACTTATTCCAACTTGCCAGAGAGAACAAGCCTTCCATTATCTTCATTGATGAAATTGACTCTCTGTGTGGTTCAAGAAGTGAAAATGAAAGTGAAGCTGCACGCAGAATTAAAACAGAGTTCCTGGTACAAATGCAAGGTACTAGTACTGATGTTTATAATAGTTTGTTTTTCATTATAAGACTAAGGAAAAAAAAATAAGCAGAATTTCTCTATTCTAATTATTTCATTATGCTGTGTTTCATTCTGATCGTCTTCATCTGCATAAATAATTCTTGCTTAGTTGTAATCACTTGCAGGACTTACTGATAGAAATAGTGAAGAGATTAATATATTCATTTGCAGCAGTAATAAAATCAGAAATGTGCAGACTTATGATCTTTCAAAAAATATTTTGAAAATGATATTAATAGTAGACAAACACTATTTAGTTTGGGGGGACTAGTTATATGATATTGTAGTAATATGATATTAGATTAAATGTAGTTTCTTTTTCAGAGAGACTCAAGGTGAGACCCTTTAATGTTAAAGTACAACATTTAATAAAGACAAACAGAAGAGGTTTAAAGATCACCAAAGTGACAATTTTTATTTTTTTAATTCCCTATTTTAATGCAGGGGTTGGTGTGGACAATGATGGGATTTTGGTTCTGGGAGCTACAAATATTCCCTGGGTTCTGGATTCTGCTATTAGACGAAGGTATGATGATACAGTAAATGTCTTATTAACAGCTACGGATGTAACAAGTAAATGATAACACACTTTGTCTAGTGAGGAGACATTCCAGTAACTGCAAAAGATTTTTGATATGCCCTAACCTTGTCTGGGAAGGAGGTTTGGCCCTTTGCTGGTTGGTTTGCCTGCTGTGTTGAAGATGGAAGATGTCCACTTACTGCAGTCTTTCACATTGGAAAATGCATTACCTCATGCTTCCCTTTGATTCTCATTAGGCTTAGTGGGGAGTGATGCTTCGGGAATTTACAGAGGTAATTTTATATTCCAGTGAAAACCCTTTATATAAAATTTTAGGAAAATGACCATTATGCAAGTCAAAGTAAGATAACCAAGATACATTTTTTTGTTTGTTTTGGAGAGATTTTTGTTATAGGGCACATGTGCTCTCTGGAGAGACAAAGAGAGACAGTGAGAAATCACCCTCCAGGGGCGATGACTACACTGCATTCCCTTCGCCTCTCTCCTATCGGGATTTTGGGCATGCAAGCACATGCGCACGTGCCGTGTGAGTTTTAAGCTGCCGGGTCTGGGACTCGAACCGCGGTAAACTATGTGAGTTCAGCAATGTAACCATTGTGCCATCTGCTGGTCCCCCAAGATATTTTAGTGAAAATAATTTACATGTCTGATTTTCAGTTGAATATGAAACTTTCCAAATACTGAAATTCTAAGAAGGCCACGCCAATTTATTATTAATAAAACTTAGTACTTCTTATATATGACACAGTATTACTTGTTCCAGATGTGCTCATTGTAATAAAGTGGACATCTTGGGTAATGAAGATCTAGTCTATAAAATTTTGAGTAATTTCATTGCTTTCAGTTTAAAGAATTATTCTGTCATCTCTACTGTTTAAGTTATTAATCATGAAACTGTTGATCAGGCAGTCAGTACAATTCTGCAGGAAACTAATTCCATAGGACGCTGCCTTTTTTTTTTTTTTTAAATAAGAGGCTTTTGCCTCAGGGCATGTGCACTCACTGGAGATAGACAGTTAGAAAGTGAGACATCACCCCTCCGGGGGGCATGGCCACACTGCAACCCTTCACATTCATTCTTCTCCTGAGATCTTGGGCACGCACACACATGTGCCTGGCGTGAGTTTCAAGCTACCAGTTTGGGACTTGAACTGCGGTCAGCCATATGGAAGTCCAGCAACATAACTGCTGAGCCATCTGCTGGTCCCTACGACGTGTCTTTTTATGTCATGAATTCCAGACATACACACTCTGTGACCAAAACAACCCAAAAATCATGTGAGAAAAACTAAGCCACTTTATAATGGTTCTCTGGCCGTTTTATTTGGTCATTTTTAAATGTGCTCTGGATTTCGTCCCCTTTTTTTAAATTTATATTTAATTCATATATATTATACATAATTCATATGTAATGTATATAATGTATATATAGTTTAACTCTGGCACATATGGGTCCTTTTATTAGGTCATCAGGAAAGTCGTGACATATTTTTCTGTTTTCCGTGTAAAAATGTGTCATGACTTTCCCACCAGCCCAGTAATTTATTGAGCTTAACCTGGTATAATTGAAACTATCTAAATACCTTTTTCTTCTTGAAAATATCCTAACTTAATTTTATATATATATACAAATAATCCTTTATATAATTTGTCTTTTACTTTAAGATTTGAGAAACGAATTTATATTCCTTTGCCTGAAGCCCATGCCCGAGCAGCAATGTTTAAACTGCACTTGGGGACCACTCAGAACAGCCTGACCGAAACAGACTTCCGAGAACTCGGGAAGAAAACTGACGGTTATTCAGGAGCAGATATAAGTATCATAGTGCGTGATGCACTTATGCAGCCTGTTAGAAAAGTACAGTCAGCTACTCATTTTAAAAAGGTAGGTAACATTCATCTGTCCTCTCACGAGTATGTGGGTGTGGTTTTACACAGGGTCTTGCTGTGTTGTGATCCTCCTGCCTCAGTCTCCTGAACAGCCGTGACACACATGTACTACCATGCCCACCTTTTTTCTCAGGGTGGTTTGGGATCGAACCTGTGCCTCCCATGTGGCCTCAGCCTGCCAGGGAGCAGAATCCAACATGCACTATAACAGTCAAGCCTATGTATTTGTAAAAATCAAGGTTCAAGCCATCATTGGTTCATGTTCAGTGCATTTGGAAGGGTTTCAGTGCTGTGTACAATAAAATAAACAAGTTTGCATAACAGACACATTCTGCTTTATCCCCAATAAAGTGTATTTATTAGTAACCATTGTTAATGATCCCGAAGTGTTTTAAATTTTTTTATGGGATGATTTTTGAAGTGTTTATTATTTTGATGTAGGTATAGGAGCTTACATACATAGTTATAAGGCAGCCTCTGATGTAACTGAAATATCATTGGGCAGAGTATAGTGCATTTTCAACTCACAAAGTAAAAGTAATAGTAGCTAATATCTTTTTTTATATTCTCTTGCCTGGGACGGTGTTCCGTCATTTTTCATATCATTTTTTTTTTTGGTCCTCCTGTAAACTACAAACTTGCATGTCGCAAGCTACTTGCTGGTTGGTAATCTGGGCCTTATAGGCCAATGCAGTTTACCACAGTGTTGCACTAGAGTAGGACAGAGGGGTGATTTGTCCCAGTGAAGTGTTCTTCAAAATCTCAGCCTCCCATTCTGTATCCTACCTTTCCTGTGAATGCACTCATTTGTCTCTGAGAACGTCAAGCATATATATAGCTGAAATACAGTTTTGTGAAAAGACCACAATCTTGGGCAGGCAGGTGACAGAGAGGTTAGGTGGCTAGATCCCACACGACCAAGTGCGCACTTTAAGCTCCAGACTTGGTGGTTTGAAAAACACACCATGTACATGTGCATGCTTGCCCAGATCCCAAGAGGACTTGGAATAGAGAGGATTGTGGCATGGCCATCCCTCCTGGGGGTGATTTCTCAGTTTCTCGCTCTCCATCTCTCTCTGTCTGGTGAGTGCATGTGTCCTATAGCAAACTGGAAATAATAATAAAAAAGACATTGGTCTTCAGATACTCAATTTAAATAAAGTGGACCAGGTAATTTAGACCAGCCCCTTTGCTGTGGATACCAGCAGTATCCAGTACTACTCAGGAACACAAATGTGAAAATCCTAAAAAATTACTAGCAAGTTAATCTCACAATATGAGAAAGACTGATACTGGTTAAACATCCCTATCCAAAAATCTAAAATGCTCCAAAATCCAAAACTTTTTTAGTTCAGATGTCATACCACAATTGCAGAATTCTACACCTGTTCTCATGTGATGGGATCACAGTCAAAATGCTACAATACAGAATTGCATATGAAGTTACCTTCTGGCTGTGTGTGTAAGGTGTTTATGGGACATGAATGCATTTTGTATATAGATTTGGGTTCCAACTCCAAGATATTTCATTAGGTGCGTTCAGATATTTAAAAATCTGAAATTAAATCTAAATCATTTCAATCCCAAGCATTTTGGATAGGGATATTTAACCTATACACCACAATTAAGTTACATATGTTTGTCTGTTATATACTACAATAAAAATGTTTAAGTTATGAGCTTAAATTAAAACCTGAATTTGAAGCTTGGCACAATTTACTTACTAGCTCCTTGAACGAATTGTGTTCCCTATTTAAGGCTCATTTTTATCACACCTAAAATGGGAATGGTAACAGTATTTCGAAGTGCTGATATGAGAATGAAATTAATTCATAGTTATAAACACCGATCACGGTACCTGAATAGGTTGGTAAATATTCGTAAGGTGTCCTTCTTTGAGCATTACAATATTGAAAGAACTGTACTAGGCTCAAGATGAGGTTCATGACACAGGCAACATATTTTTCTCCTAAATTCTCTTTGTCATTTAGAAACTGTAAGATTTTTAGGAAAAAAATTCTTCCATACCAAGATCTTATTTAAGTCTGTATGTTGCTGTCATGGTGGAGTACATGATCTGAAACTAGGTCCTCAATCAGACACAGGCGAAGCAGCCAGAGTAGTTTTAACATTTAGAGGTTTGGATCACCAACTGTAGTAAACTTTTCTGTGACTCTATCCTTTATTCTGTTGTCAAGGCTAATTATTTCAACTAGCACAAACAAATTTGCCTATTTATTTAAATTTTTCATATGTCTAAAGTACATATCTGAAACCAGAGGTAGATCAGTAGCAATCAAAAAGACAAAAATTTCTCACTTCATGTACTTGTCATTTTTGTGAGGAAGAAAACATGGGCAATAAAATACACATGATTAATAAAATGAGAATGCATGTTTTCTCCACACGTATACTGGTCCTGAGGTAATTATTTGAAGGTGATCGTTAAATAGAGGTGAGAGCAGCCACCAATTGGACACAGATCTGTTGCCCTTCTCAGTATTCGCATGGGACTTTAGGTCAGAAGCGTTCTTTTTGTGGATATTGTTAAAAATTTAAGTAAGTGATACATCATAAGATAGCATTGAAATTACATTTAGCATTTGATTTTGTGCTTACTCTAGAAAGCATTTTTTCCAAAAAGACATTTAATTTCAGCCTGAAACTTCTAAATATAATAGATGTAACGTGTCTATTTTTGGTCTCTGTGATTATAACCACTTACAACAGCATTAGAGAAATAAAAGTGAAAGCTTAGCCACAAGTTAGTGTTTCTTTTCTTTTTTTTTAAACTCACTTTCTCCATATGGCCATGTAAGTAATTGATTATAAGAAATTTCAAAATACCGAAAAGCATCAAAAAAATTAAATCAATGAAAATCTATCCCATCTCTGAAAGATAACTTTGTGTTTTATATTCTTGTACTTTTTGAAATAAACATTTTAGCAAAACATAACTATTAATACAGCTTCAACTATTTCTGATAACAGCCTTAATCTTAATGCTTATTTAATTTGCTCAGATAAGTATTTCAGGCGACTGTTTATTACAGGTTCGTGGTCCTTCCCGAGCAGACCCTAACAGCATTGTAGATGACCTGCTCACGCCCTGCTCTCCAGGTGATGCTGGTGCCATTGAAATGACGTGGATGGATGTCCCTGGGGATAAACTTTTGGAACCAGTTGTTTCCATGGTTAGAATTTTTTTTTTTTTTTTAGATAACATTTACTTTGTAAATTGTACTTTGTAATACACTAGATAAACTTTTTGGTTATATAAAGTTAGCTGGAAAATGTTAGTATGAAAATAGTATGATTAGGCATGTGTATCTAATATTATTGACTCACTTTAAAAATTGTAAAAATTTGGACCAGCAGATGGCGTAATGGTTGTGTCACTGGGCTCTTGCATGGTTGACTGTGCTTCGATTCCTGGACCTGGTGGCTTAAAACTCATGCCAGGCATGTGTGCATGAGTGCCCAAAATCCCGAGAGGAGAATGGAGGATTGTGTTGTGGCCATCTCCACTGTAGGTGAGTGCCTCGCTTTCTGTCTCTCTTCTCTCTAGCAAGCACATGTGCCCTATAGCAAAAATCACCCTTAAAAAAAAAAAAAAAAATTGTAGGGACCAGCAGTTAGTGTAATAGCTATGTTGCTGAACTTCCATGAGCCGACCATAGTTCGAGTCGCAGACCCAGTGGCTTAAACTCATGCCAGGCACATGTGCGTGTGTGCCCTAGATCCCGAGAGGAGAATGGAGGAGAAGGGATTGCGGCATGTCCATTTCCCTGGGGGGTGATTTCTTACTTTCTGTCTCTCTGTCTTTCTGGTGAGCGCACATGCCGTGTAGCAAAAACCTCTCAAAAAAAATATTGTAGAGATTAATTGAACTTTTAGAGTAATGATGTTTGAAATATTTTCTTAGGATTTAAGGAAAGTTTAATCTTCAGCAAAAAGGCTATTTATCTTATTTTTAAAGAGAATTATTAATTTTATTTATTATTTTATAATTTGCTATAGGGCACAGGTACTCACCAGAGAGAGCCAGAGGGACAGAGAAATTGAGAAAGTAAGCCATCAGTCTGGTACTTGAACTGCAGTTGGCCATATGGGAGTCCAGTGCCCCAACTTCCATGCCACCTGCTGGCCTTATGGCTATTTATTTTAAAACATAGGTTTCCAACTATAGATCTTGTAGCTGGAATATTATCTCAGAAGGTTCATATATACTGCAAAACTTATTGTTAATAAGACTTAACTGAAAAGTAGAGCTGGTAGAATTTTTCCCCTGAATCTCAGATTTTAAAAAGTAGTCAGAAATGCTAGTTAGTGCTTGTGCCATACTGTTCATAAATGTTTTTCTGTTTTCACAAGGTTCCCGAGAAAGTTGAAATAATGCAGTTCTAAAAAACTTTTTACTGCATTTAAACAATTTTTGGTATAAAAATATTACATTTTCTGAATCAGCTCCATGACCTAGTGGTTAAAAGAGCTGGATCCCACTGACATGTATGTATATTTTTGTTAAGAGTGGTTTTTGCCATAGGGCACGTGCACTCACCGGAAAGACAGAGAGAGACACAGAGACAGAAAGCAAGAATCAACCCCCTGGGGGATGGCCACGCCGCAATCCCTTTTCCTCCATTCTCCTCTCGGGATCTTGGGCGTGCATGCACACGCACCCAGCGTGAGTTTAAGCCACCAGGTCCAGGACTCCAATTGTGGTTGACTACGTGGGAGTCCAGTGACATAGCCTTTACTCCAGCTGCTGGTCCCAGGACTATTATTCTATAAGGTATATTATAATATCTTTAGGAAACTTAGGTGATTGAAAAGTTATGCTTGTTATATTTTATTGTTGGTGAACAGTGCTCATTTTCAAAAACTTGTGCTTCAGTTACCTATTTTCAAATAACCTTTATGGTAGTTTTTAATTAATTTCCAGATGAGAAACTTTCATGCAATGTGTAGAAAGAGATATATTTATATATGTAGGTATCTGTGCTTTTGTTTATGTTTAAACACATTCATATGTTTCTGTTAATAACCATAATCCCTTTCTGAGAAGTTATTCAGAAACCTTTTTGTTTTATTCCTTGATACATTAAGTTTTTGTACTCTGTCTAGTTTTGAAGAGTTTACACCAACTTAGAGATTCTTTTTATCATTTTACATACTATTCTACAGGACACGTAATCTAGAAGTTAGTTTTTTAGTTGATCTCTGATATTTGGCATATTTTCTTACATTTTTATCTTAATTTTAACTAATTGTCTTAGTGTTCTAGGTAGTTGGTTTTTAGTAAGCTGTATTCTGCCTAACTCAAGTGTAAGTGAATGACTATTTCCCTTACTTAGAAACTGATCTCTTGTTTTAATAATAACCAGATAGAGTTGGAAATTAGATTATAAACCTACTCTGGAGGGCCTCCATCCTCAGTCTAAGAAGATCGTGCTTTCCATAGGCAATTGGAAGCCATTGAAAGATTCTGTCAGAACAGGGGAAGACATTGAAAGTTTCTTCGCAAAAGAAAAATGTTTTCAAAGATTCCTTAGAAAGTGTAAGAGGGTTTATGGTCACTAGTTTATGGCATACTGCAAATATTCACACTTAACTTCAGGTTAAGTTTATATTGATACTGTAATTTTTATTTTATTAAATCTGTTATTCATATCCTCTTCTCACCTTCCCACCCCCCACTCCCCTGGCCCTTTCCCCCCTTATAGTCTGATATGTTGCGGTCGCTGTCTAACACAAAGCCCACGGTCAATGAACACGACTTGTTGAAATTAAAGAAGTTTACAGAAGATTTTGGCCAAGAAGGCTAAACCAAAGACAAGGAAGATGTTTACCATATGTATTCTTTCTTTCATGGTATCTCGCCTTTTTTGAATGGCATTCAGATTATTTCCAGTAGAACTCTATTACCACAAGGAAATACACATCTCACTTCAAAGTTCCTTTCAGTTTTATATTGTACTTTTCCTCCTTTACCTATTAAATGCTATTAACAAAAATTATTAAAAAAAAAACAAATTAAAAAGAAATGAGTGGTATGTGGATGACAAAAAAAAATAGTTTATCCCCCCAAACATTAGAAGTTGATTGACATACAAATATTTAAAATTTTGTGAATGGTAGTCTTTACAAAGCATTTATCTTTTTTTTTAACTAAATGAAATAGGACTTATTTTATATTTTGAAAAATTTACACATCATTTTTATTATCAATGTAGTGTATTTACTTTATTAAAAAAATTAAAATGATAGAACCTTCACTCTCAGGGATGGGCAGTCAAACAGCAAAGAGCACTGTGATTGGCTTTGGAAGAGTTTGAATTGTGTCCTTGCCAGTGCTCTTACTTTTAATAGGTTGATATTTCTTTCTGTGTTGATTTAAATCATTTCTTTTAAAGCTGCAAGCTTTTATATTTAACTAAATGATACCTTTCACTGTGCAATCTCAAGAGAAAGACTTTCTAAATTAGGCTGTGTCTTTGCCTTGAATTAGAATATTGTCTATTTCAGTGTCTTTTTGTAGCAAGATTGACCAAAATAGATGGTAAATAAGTACATAATTTTAAAATAACTGTCATGAAATACTGTAATGGGAACCTTTGCTAATAATGAAATGGCCTCCCTCTGGATTATGGAAAGTTTCTTGTGTGTGATGTGGGGTGTGTGTGTACATATATGTATAATTATTGTTTTTTTAATACAGAATAGCAAGGACCTTGTCTTTCACATTTTAAGTTCAGGGAACAGTTTATCCTAGCCACTTATATGTTATCAGTGTAATGCTTTGTGAAGCTTTAGAAATGAGCTGATGTCTCATTGAATAATAAAATACATACATGGTATAGTTATTTTAATATCTTCAAATAAATAGTCTGAGGATGTGTTTTATACACATTAGCATCAACACAAGTTGTGCCTTGTCCATGTGCATTGGCTATACATGCAAAAGATTATTAAGTTAGCTAGAATGAGGTAGATTCTTTAATTACTTAAATACTGTAAAGTTCTACCTTGCAAATGCTATAGAATAACTTGCATTTTAAAGTATATTTGCACATTTTACCTATTATGCTATATGGTTGCCTTGGGTTTTCTGTACAGATTGTTTTTGTTAATATTGAATGGAAATCATAGGCCTGAAGTATGCTGTTCTTACGTGAAGTAAATTGATATAACTTACTATTGGTTATATTTTGTGTATGCTTCTTTATTTGAGACCTTTCTATGGAAGAAACATTTTGTAAATTGATTAGCTAGAAATCATTAAAAACTATTAAGAGTATATACTTGGGACCAGTAGGTGACGTGGTGGTTGAGGCAACTGGACTCTCACGTGGTTGACCACGGTTTGAGACCCGGACCTGGTGGCTTGCTTTCTCACTTTCCCTCTCTCTGTCCCTCTCTGGGCAAATTAAAAAGTAAATAAATAAAGTTAAAGTAATTCTCTAAAAAAATTATCTAAAAAGAAAAAAGTATATATATGAAAAATTTATTTTTTAGTAACTTTAATATGAGGGTTCAGAATTAACTTGGGATACCAACACTCTACCTTATCTGTTTATCAACATCAGAATAATGTTACACACAGTATTGCTATTAATTACATAATTAACAGAGTTAATATAATTATACTGTCATATAGTTGAAGTCTAGAACTGAAAATTTGAGAAAATATTCAATTGATGACCAAATAGTATATAAACATAGTGTTGATTGGGACCAGCAGAGGGGGTAATGGTTATGTTGCTGGACTCCCATTGGGTAGACCGCAGTCCCCGACCTGGCAGCTTAAAATTTACACCAGGTGTGTGTGTGCCCAAAATCCCAACAGGAGAATGGAGGAGAAGGGATTGCAGTGTTGCCATCCTCCCAGGGGGTGATTTCTCACTTTCTGTCTCTGTCTCTCCAAAGAGTACATGCAGCAAAAATCTCTCAAAAAAAACCACAAAGTATAATGTTGAAAATAAGCAGATACTTTTATCACATTAAATCATTTTTTTATTTTTCTTTTAGTTTTGCTATAGTGTGCATGCACTGGTTTGAGACAGAGAGAGGAAAAGAGAGAAGTCACTCCATAGGGATGGCCATACCACAAGCCCTTCTCTATTTTCCTCTTGGGATTCTAGGCAAACATTTTCATGTGTCCAGTGTGTTTTTCATGCTGCCAAGTCTAGGACTTTAACCACTGGGATCCAGCTGCCTTAACCACCACGCCACCTGGCTGACCCAAGTTATCTTTACAGATGTACGCAGAATTTGTTTATAATTTTTAAGAAAACCTTACAAACTGATAATAGAAGGGAACTTTCTCACTTTATAAAGACAACTCACCAAAAAGGGGGGGGGCAGTAGGTGGTGTGGTGGTTAAGGAGCTGGATTCCCATATGGCCAGTTCAAGTTCAAGACCCTGCAACTTGAAAATCACCACAGGTGGTGTGTGTGCATGCCCAAAATCCTGAAAGAAGAAAGGAGACTGGATTGTGGCATGGCCATTCACCCTGTGGGATGATTGCTCACTTTCCTACTTTCTCTGTCTCTCTTGTGAGTGCATGTGCCCTATAGCAAAACTCTTTAAAAAAAAAAAAAAGGTTCTGAAGTACAGGAAGCCAGTCACCAATCATACTTCTTTTACTCCTTTTGAATTTGTATTTTGTAGGGTATTAATATATAGGAAATGGTCATGACCAGAGTTTATATGTGTTCTGTGTCTGGTATATGCAAACCTTAATGGGAAGAGGACTTCAACTTAGTTTTGTATTACTTCTGTAACATACACCTACAAGTTATGGTTAAAACAATAGATGTATCCTCTTGCAGTTCTGATGGTCAGAAGTCCAATGCCAGTCTTACTGGGCTAAAATCAATATGTCTGCATGCTGTGGTCCTTTCTGGAGGCTCTATGGGAGAACTGATTTCTTTGCTCATTTGGTCCTTGGCAGAATTTAGATCCTTGCAGCTGTAGGACTGAGGTTCTATGACCTGGCTGGCAGCTGAGAGCCATTCGCAGTTTTTCGGGGCGTGTCCATTCCTTAGCTGACAGCCCCCTTCCTCCATTTTCAAAGCCAGCAATGGTAGGTTGCATCCTTCTCGTGCGCAAAATCTTTCCTGCCTGTTCTTGGATAGTTGTATCTTTCTGACCCACTCTTCTGCTTTCTGTTTTTATTACACTTTTAGTTTTTACATTTGCACATGTAGTGGTAAGAAACACAGGTAGATCCCCAGTACCCAGTTCCCCCCAGTGGTACCATTTTGCAAAGCTGCCCTAGCATATCACAACCAGGATGTTGACATTGACCCAGTCAAAATGAAGAACATCCTCCCCACCACAGGAGTCTCTCCTGTTGCCCTTGTATCACTACAACCATTTCCCTCCTGTCTACTCCTTACCCCCTAGAAATGATCTATTTCCCATTATTTGTCATTTCAAGGATACTGTTGACATAAATGTAATCACACAATAGGTAAAATTTTGGGTTTCTTTTTACTTAGTATAATTCACCAGGCTATTGTTTATCCCTTTTTATTGTTGATTAGTATTCCATGATGGACATATCACAGTTTATTGAACCATTCACTTATCAATGTACATCAGGTTTGCTTCCAGTGGTTTTTTGGGGGGGAGAGATTTTTTTGTATAGGGCATGTGCACTCACCAGAGAGAGAGAAAATGAAAATCACTCCCCAGAGGGCATGGCCACACTAATCTCCATTCTCTTGGGATTTGGGGTATGCATGCATGCAAGCCTGGTGTGAGTTGCAAGCCACCAGATCCGGAACTTGAACCATGGTTTACCATGTGTGAGTCCAGCAATGTAACCATTACGCCATCTGCTGTCCCTGCTTCCAGTTTTTGTCTATTGGGATAAAGTTACTTTAAGCATTCATATGCATGTTTGTGTGTGAACGTAAATCTTCATTTCCTTGGGCTAAGTGCCCAAGAATCCAACTGCTGGATCGCATGTAGTTGTATGCACACTTTTTTGTTTTTAAGAAACTGCCAGTCTGTTTTGCAGAGAGGCTATATTTTTCTCTTTGTTTTTTAAATTTTTACAGAAGACTCATGCACTCACCAGAGAAAGAAAGGGAAAAAGTACCTCCCTCTGGGGTATGGTACTCATAATCCAGTCCCTTATTCTATTCTCTTGGGATCTTAGACATGTTTACACATGCACCTTGTGTTTTTTTCAAGCCACCAGGTCTAGTACTCAAACCCAATGGTTAGCCTTATGGGATCTGATGCCTTCCTGATAATGTGAGCTTCAGCTGAAGGCCAGATGGTGGTATCTTAATATTACTAAAGGAACCAGCCTTACCCAGAGAAGGTCTGCCCTTTGCCCTTGGCTTCCAAGAGGTCATCTGTGTCATACCTGATAAAAGTGTCAGTTTAGATGAGGGCTTGGCTAAACTGGAATTTAGAGCGGAGACTGGCCAGGCCAGAAGAACATTGTGTGATTGGTGTATGCGTTGTCACTCTACTTGGACGTGAGTTCAACCATGAGGACAATCAATGAATGAATCAAGCCTATGCAATGAAGCCCCAATAAAAACTGGACACAGGCTCAGGTGAGCTTCCCAGATAAGGATGCTCCATACATATTGTCACACCCTGTGCTGGGAGGGCAATAGATCCTGAGAGATGACAACAGAACTTGGATTTGGAAGCCTCTGGATTTTACCTTATGCATTTCTTTCCTTTGTTGCTTTTGATTTATAGCCATTCCTTGGAACAAACCATAAGCATCCATTTAATAGCTTTCAGTGAAACCTCCTAGTAAACCTAAGTGGTTTAGGAGCCCCCCAAACTTGGAACCTGTATCTGAAGTCTTTGGAGACATACGCTCTTGAACCTTGCAGTTGGGCTAACTCTGGGCAAGAAGTCAAGAAAAACCCAATACCTTTTCTTTCTTAGTTTTCTAGTATTTCTAAAAACAACAACAACAACAACAACAACAAAAAAAAGCAAAACAAAAACTTCTCTGTGCAAATCAAAACTATAACGTGACTTCACTTCCACCAGGATGGCTATCATCAAAAGGACAGATGACACATGTTGGTATGTGGGGAAACTGGACCCAGATCCACTGCTGGTAGGAATGTAAATGGTGCAGCCACCTTGGGAAACAGTCTGGCCAGTTTCTCCAATGCTAAAATACGGTGTTACCAGATGCAGCCATTCTACTCCTAGGACTATACTCCAGAGAAATGGAAACTGTCCACCCGAAAACGTGTATATGAATGTTCACGATAGCAACATTCCCAACAGTGAAAAAGTGTAAAGGAGTTTCTCAGCTGATGAATGGAAGAATAAAAGTGGAATAGCCAAACGACGGGGTATTATTTGGCAATAAAAAGAAATCAGTGCTGATACATGACACACCACGGATGAACATTAAAAACATGCTTAAAGAAAAAAAAGCCAGACATGAAAACACTACTTATCGTATGAGTCTACTTATATGAAAGATCCAGAATAAGCCAATCTGTAGAGGAGGAAGACGTGATTGTTTAGGGCTGGGCGGAAGTGGAGAGGGAGTGGGGAGTGACGGCTGGTGGGTAACGGGTTTCTTTGGGGGTATGGCTAAGATTGATTGTGGGGATGGTCGTACAAGTCCTCTACTAAAAATATGTATTATGTACTTTAAATCGGCAAATGGTATTCTTAGAATGTGATTTTTTATAGTTATTGGCAAATCTGTTTGTTTTGTATTGAACCTGCTTCGGTAAAGCACTAGGTGTTCAACAAAATTAACTGAGTGATTTTTCAAAACTCCATGTTCGCTTTCCCGGTACTCCGAAAAGCGAAAGTGGGTTGGGACCTACCATTTTCTAAATACGCCAGGAAAATCTGAAATGGAACCCGGACTCCACCGCCTCCTCCGCCCCCCCCCCCCCGCCACTAGCTCTGGCTCCTGCAGCCGTGGTTTGCAAGGAGCTGCAACCCTGCAACCGGCCGCGGGCAGGGCTCGACGAGGGGCGGAACTCGCAGCGTCTGGGTGGCTCCAGCCGGGAGACTCGCCGACTGGGAGGCCCGGAAACGCTCTTCGGGGTCCTAAGCAGCAGCACAAAACCAACCCGGAGCGTCACCTGCCCTTCCCAGACGTGCTCCCAGAAAGCGCTGCCCGGAGCTCGCTGGCAGCGTGCTTAGGAAACCCCGTTTCCGCAAGTCAGCTGGCGGGCCCGGCCCCCGCGCTCAGCTTGGGGTGGCGTGGGGAACACTTGGGCCCTCCCCAGAAGCCCGTCGACCGGCGGCGGCGGCCTCCCCGCCCCCT